GTTTTGTTACCAGTTGTCAAAGTTGTCAAAAAGAAAATATCTATGTTGATACATTAATAAATGGAAAAAATGTACCAATACATTCATGTAATGCAACAGTATAAAAATTGTAGTTTCATGTCGGTGTTAAAAGCAAATTAAATGTTAGAGCTAATACTTACTGTGTCGGAATAGTATCAGTACAGCTTTGTAGTTAATTTCTTGAGAATTTACTCACAAAAGTATAAATAGCTAAAGACCTCTAAAGAATTTTTTGTTTTAATCTGTGAATCTTCGAATTTTTTCATGAATGTGATAAATTTATAACAGATACTTATCATTAATTACTATTTATAACTGGGAATAAGCCACATTAAAGATAAAAATACATTTATTGACGTTTCAATTTCCAATTCGGAAATCGTTCTCAAAATACAAATAGTAAATTAAACAAATTTTGTTTTTTGTTACATAGTGAAAAAATTCTTCTGATAATTTAATTTTATCTGACTCATTTATATTGACAATTCAGACATACATTATGCATTTTAAAGTAGACGACTTTAAAATGATATTGCCAATATTGTTGAGTTGCGCTCCTGGGACGACTTTACTTATAAGATAGTTCATTCGATTACATGAAATCAACTTTAACTTGAGAATATCCGTCAGAAAAAATCATAGCATGTAATTCGTCTTTAAAAAGACAAACACATGACATGATGACAGTAAAATTCTCCTGTTAGTGATTCCATAGTAAATTATGAGGGAAAAACCAGGAAAAAAAACCTCATAATACTATCCCGACATTGTAAGTATTTGTTCGTGAATTTAGTTTACCTTCAACAAACATCAAAATTCTGATTTTATGTTACGTTATTTAAAAAACATAAATGATGTATCCTCTATATGTTACTGACTTACTAATACTGGTATTTTCTTATTAATAACTTCCTCTTTCAATATTGGTAACCAGATCCTACTACATTCTGCCGAGGAATTTGCGACACAATTGGCCTCATTTAGCATAATTAGAGCCGCTTCTTTGATTTTTCTTTTTTTACCATCCGTTTCTTTTAGGACTATATTTGAATTATTCCATTGAAATTACCAATATTGAAAGAGGAAGTTATTAATAAGAAAATACCAGTATTAGTAAGTCAGTAACATATAGAGGATACATCATTTATGTTTTTTAAATAACGTAACATAAAATCAGAATTTTGATGTTTGTTGAAGGTAAACTAAATTCACGAACAAATACTTACAATGTCGGGATAGTATTATGAGGTTTTTTTCCTGGTTTTTCCCTCATAATTTACTATGGAATCACTAACAGGAGAATTTTACTGTCATCATGTCATGTGTTTGTCTTTTTAAAGACGAATTACATGCTATGATTTTTTCTGACGGATATTCTCAAGTTAAAGTTGATTTCATGTAATCGAATGAACTATCTTATAAGTAAAGTCGTCCCAGGAGCGCAACTCAACAATATTGGCAATATCATTTTAAAGTCGTCTACTTTAAAATGCATAATGTATGTCTGAATTGTCAATATAAATGAGTCAGATAAAATTAAATTATCAGAAGAATTTTTTCACTATGTAACAAAAAACAAAATTTGTTTAATTTACTATTTGTATTTTGAGAACGATTTCCGAATTGGAAATTGAAACGTCAATAAATGTATTTTTATCTTTAATGTGGCTTATTCCCAGTTATAAATAGTAATTAATTTACAATGCCACAAGAAAATAGCTTCAGAACAATAGATACTTATCATGTTACAAGGCAAACAAAACTTTCAGTTCTAACTCAAAATAGATGAACATATTGTGCTGATGAAAACGACTTTCTTGTTTTCTTTGTGTCGGATTTCAAACAGACCGTAGGGACGGCCAATACTTGAAATTGTTAAAATAACAGAAAGGGATGATTATTTTCCGATTTCTTAATTTAAAATGTTTCACAAAAGCATATTAAGTGAATGTTAAATGTATTCAAGGAAAGGTTTTCAATTTTATTTAGATCTCTCATTGTTGATTTTTATTAGCACATACAATATCTATTCGCCTTATTAGATATTCCTTTTAACCTTTTAGGTTTAATTATTTTTATTTCACTTATTTTTTCGTGCATAAATTTTAACTGCAAAAATTTAATACTAATCTATATAATTCTGTATAAATCTATACTTTATTTAAAGGGAGTACCACAAGGGCAAATAAGTTATTATGAAAGATCTTCGTCTTTCGATCGTCAAAAAATATTGTTTTTAATATAAAATTCATACAAATATTTTATATTGTTTATAGGAATGACTAAAAAATATTTTTGAAAATATTTTATTGAAACAAAAAAAAAACAGATACAAGATGAAAAACTCTAGTATAACAATATATTGTGAATATTGTTCTGACGCTATTTTCTTGTGACATTATAAAGGAATTACTGTTTAAATGGGAATAAGCCACAATTAAAGGTTGAAGTAAGTTTATTGATGTTTTAATTGTCACATCGGATATCGTTTTCAAAATATAAACATTAGTTTATATTACGTACTATATAATTTTCTTGTCTTGTTCTAACATTTTACGGTGGAATAACCTTTTTTCATCTAGTAATGCTATATTTTCCAATAAACGCTAAGGTATTACTTCCACTTTCTTTTTTCTCATCTGTCACATCTTGGTCCGATTCATTTCCACCATCACCAACTCAATTTGATCTATTTCGCTTTCACTTTCCTCATCGTCAACATAATTTTCATCGTCGGTAGGAATCATGTCCATAATTCCAACAAGCGTTGGAATCAAAGTTGTTTGGCTTCAAAGGACATCTATAAATAAGAATTGTTAAAAACTTACCGATAAAATGTAATAATAAGATGATGGTGATAGGGTGAGCTGATTTCTGTATGCCTTTGTTAAAACTGCAGTACCCCAGACAGGCGTAGCGTAGAAGACGATCGATTGCATAAGATAATGAAGGGCCTTCCTCCTCTTAGTTTTGGGCCCTCCGATGTTGGGCAAGTTTCCTCCCAACGCGATGGATCTCACCGCAACTCTTTATCACCGCATCAGGTCAAATCTAGAACATATAAGAATTTTTTTTTTTTTGAGTTAATGTCTCGACAACTATGATCATTGGCATGGTACAGTCAGGTACCTAGTGTAGTGTGTGTGTGTGTGTGTGTGTGTGTGTGTGTGTGTGTGTGTGTGTGTGTGTGTGTGTGTGTGTAGAGTAATTGTCTTGATACTTAGCAAAGTCGACGTTATCGTCTTTGCTAAGAGACGCTAATTATATCCGAACGTCTGCGGTCCCTCCGGTGAGTACCGATCGCACAAGGATAGAAATTATTTTCATTTATTAATTTTTAATAAACGAAAATTTCTTCAGCCAGATGAGATTCGAACTCACGACCTTTAGGTTTAAAGGTAAGCGCTCTTACCACTGAGCCACAGAGGGGGTTCATATAAGAATTAAACAACATGTTTACAGTTTTTTTTTGTAAATATGACTAATTTTTACGTAACAGAACCATTTTCTTGTCCCTTGAGAACTATAGACTTGGTGTTATCTGCTGCCAGTTCTACGTCATACATTTTCATCCATTCCTCGACTTAGTTGCATGTACCCTGTGCACCAAAGATAAAATCCACCTTGCTCCGCGCCACTACCAGCATAGCAAAATCGTCCGCAAATGCAAAAGGGCTTACACACTCTCTGTATTTTTGGCTCACAACGTCATGATATGCCAAGTTCAAGAGCGTGGGTGCTAGGACTGACTCCTGCTGCGCTTCTCCTGTCACGTTAACTACCATTCCTTTTTCTACCACAATTTTCCTCTCTGACAGATAGTCCGAGACCAAATTCATTAAGTACCTCGGACACCTCCTCTCTCGTAAAGCCTTCATTACCTCTTGCCATTTTAATGTACTAAAAGCATTCCGGACGTCAAACAGAAGGATCGCCTACCTCTGGTGAACTCCACCCGCGCAAATCCCGGAAGATTTCCATGACAGTATTCACCGTGCTCCTGCTCTTTCTGAAACCGTACTGCCTGGGTGACAGCTTGCCTGACTCTTTATTGACTATGTCTATTTGCCCTCTTAGAAGCCTCTCGTATAGTATACCTATGCACGACAGAAGGCAAACAAGTCGATACTTGTCTTTTCCCTTTGGGAGTAGCACGAACCTTGAGATGTTCCAATTTGCCGAAAATCGCTAAGTTTCCAGCAGTGCATTCATGTGTTTCAAAAACCACGTCGTGTCCATACTTCTAATGCGTTTTACCCCTTCTGGTAGTATCCCATTGAGTCTCGGAGACTTTTGTGTGTTTAGTTCAATATACACAGTTCTATTTCTTCTACCTTCTACTCTGCACAATCTTCGTACCTCCTGGAGGTCCTGCTCCTTATTTAAGGGTATACTGAATAATATTAATAGCTTTGATATTTTACTTAATAGACTAATGTTTGTTTCCTGTTCCTTCTAACCGTATTCGTTCCGGGTTTTCGTTTACTTGTTTCTAGCTTTCTAACAATTATTTTATATATCTTCCTTGTTTGCTTTTTTATCTGAATATGCTTTGAATATGTTCCTGTAGTTGTTTTATCGGTTGCCCATTTAAATGCTTACATTGCTCAAATAATAAAACTGGGATCGACTCCTCAGAAGATATGTATTGATCAGTGTGATGTTTACCTATCTCAAATATGCTCAAATAGATATTTTTGTTATATTTTAACCCTTAAGGCCCATTTGAGGCACTTTTCACTCGTACGATACACTTACAGCAGTAAACGCTCTATACAGCCCGAGATTTTGGGTTATGTTTCGGAGTTATTGTCAATTGCTTTCTTTGTGTAGTTTTTTTATTATGGGGTATTCTTATTCTCGTTCATTCGCTTTTTGATATATGAGGTACATACAAAGCTACTTATTTGTTTACAATAATGGAATTTTTGTTTGTTTTATTATATTATAAGTTAATAAACAGTTCTTTCTTGTTGCAGTGTCATTTGGTTTGGAGGATACATTATTTGCAGACGAAGCATCTGATGATTTACTCTTCGAGGCAGAAGACCACGCAGCCAGCGATCTCTTTGGCGATGCTGTCGAGCCGACAATATCCCCTTTTGAAAAAGTTACTGTTTCTTTACCAAAAAGTTTTTATACCAGTAGTTTGGACAATATTTTAGAAGAAGCAAACAATCAAACATCTTTGAAGAAAACAAATATTACAATAAAACAATCTCCAAAAAATTCAGAAGATAATGAAGAACTAATGAAGGAGAGAAATATATCAGGTTTAAGCGAAACTGAACTCCACCAAATGCAAAAATATATTGATGAACGAAAATCTATAACTGATGAAGAAACTACTGAGCAGCAATTGGTAACAGTTGATCCAAAACACTGGTATACGTTAAGTTATCGCCAAGATACTTCTGATTCAAACGAAGTTGATAGTGAAAGTACTCCAAAATCTGATACTACTCCAAAATCTGAAACTTCTCCAAAATCTGAAACTTCTCCAAAATCTGAAACTACTTCAAAATCTGAAACTACTCCAAAATCTGAAACTACCCCAAAACCAATAATAATTACAGAAGAATTGGTCTCAAGTGTAACTAATGAAATACAAAATTTTACTACAGAAAATATTTTAATTAAAGATAAAATAGAACCAGTTACAGTAACTGAAACAACTGCAACTACTGAAACTGGATCAACTGAAAATAAAGTGATATATTTTACTATGCCCTACGAAGATAACAATAATTCTTCTGAAATAAATACAAAAAATAAAACAATCGAAAAAGGATACTCTCTTGAGGAACTTGGAATGGAAAATGTAGGCATTAAATCTATAATTGATGTCTCAACAGAACCATCTATTATTTCTACCACTGATAATATAAAAATAAATACATCTGGTTTATTTTTGTTTATTGATAATAAAGGAGAACAAACGGAGTTACCTTCACACAAAAATAAAACAACAAAAGGAGAAAATATTAGAGTTAACCTGAATATAACAAATATAGAACTTGTTAATAGTAATAATAAAAGTGTGGAGAGTCATTCAAATATTATTGAATCTAGTACAAAAATGACTATCCAATTAACTACAGAGTTAAATATTTTTAATAGTACGAATAAAATTGAGAATATTAAAAATGAAACTACTGTAATTGATAATGCTAAAGATACCAGCAATCACGATAATAACAAAATTGATGTTATATCTAATAACACAATAAAAAATGTCACCGAAGAATCTACGATTAACGGTATTAAAACTGTAAAAATTCTGGAAAGAATGGGTACCAAAGATAAAGTAAAAGAAAGTGACATCTTAGTTAAAGAAAAACAAAATAATACTTCATCGTCAAACTCATCTATTGAAGAACCCGCAGCTAAGAGTACAGAAACTGCAAAAATTTTGGAAAGAATGGATACTGAAGACAAAGTAAAAGAAAGTGACATCTTAGTTAAACAAATACAAAATGATTCATTGTCAAATTCATCTATTGAAGACAAAAAAGATAGTATATCAACTAATTCATTGAACAAAATTTCTACAGAAGCAAATCTTGATGCAGAAACCACAACAGAAAGTAGAAGAAATGTCACAACAGTATCATTAACAGAAAGCAACATTTTATCGTTAGCTACAACCAACCAAACTGTTGTACAAGAAAGTCATCCTTTTATCGTCACCAATATTTTTGGACATAAATCCAATTTTACAGCTCAATTACAAATACAGGTAAGAATTTTATTTTATCAGAGTTGTCTATCAAATAATTGGTTTATTTTTGACTATTTTCATTTGTTGGTATCCACATTTGGTGACAGCACGGCATTCTTACCTTCTCGTAAATTACCATATACCTAAATAATATATAAATATACATTTATATATTATTTAGGTATAGATATACTGGCTCTATATAGTATAGATACTGGCTCGTGTCATGCAACTTTTCTTTTTTTTTAACCTATTCTCTATCCTTCCATTGTTGGATATAGGTCTCCCCCAGTTCTCTCCATCTTTCCCTATCTTGAGCTGTTCTCTGCCATGTAAGACCTCCTTGTTTCCTGATGTCATCTTTCCACCTCTTCTGTGGTCTGCCTCTTGATCTCTTTGCATTGTATGGACGCCACTTTCCGATGACATTGTTCCATCGTCCGTCTTGGAGATGTTCATTGTGTCCAGCCCATTTCCATTTCAGTTTTGCTGCTTGTTCTATCGCGTCTACTGTCTTTGTTCTGGTTCTGATCCACTGGTTACGTTTTCTATCTCTAAGTGATACACCCAACATTTGTCTCTCCATCGCTCTTTGTGCCTTCCTTATCCTATCCAAATTGGCCTGTGTAAATGTCCATGTCTGTTCTCCGTAGGTGAGCACCGGTATGATACAGGAGTTATATACCTTGCTTCGTAAGTATAGAGGGATTGTTTGATTTTTTAGAACGTAAGAAAGTTTGCCGAACACTGCCCATCCCATTCTTACTCGTCTCGATATTTCGACTGTTTGATTTTCTCTATTAGCTCTGATTGCTTGTCCTAGATAGATATACTCATTTACCTGTTCTATTTTTTCTGTTTTTATTTTTATTGCCTCTTGGTCTTCCGTGTTTGTTATTACTTTTGTTTTGTTGAAGTTAATTTTTAGGCCTTTTTGAAGTGATTTTTCATGAAATTCATTCAGCATTAATTCCAGTTCTTGTCGTTCCGAGGAGATCAGGAGTATATCATCCGCATATCTAAGGTGATTTAGGTATTTTCCGTTAATACATATTCCTCTGTTTTCCCAATCTGTTGATTTTATTATGTCTTCGAGGGTCAAGGTAAACAGTTTAGGTGAAATTATATCGCCTTGTCAGACTCCTCGTTTAACTTTTATATTATCTGTTATTAATTTGTCGTCCAGAATTACGGTCATGGTTGCGTTTTGGTAAATATCATGTATCAATTGTCGGTATCTTGAATCTATTCTACTATTGACCAGAGCTTCTTCAACCGCCCAGTGTTCAATGCTGTCGAAAGCCTTTTCATAATCTACGAATGCTAAGTACAGCGGAAGGTTGTATTCATTGGTTTTCTCAATTAAGATTTTAAGCGTATGTAGATGATCGATTGTGCTGTATCCTTTTCTGAATCCGGCCTGTTCCACTGGTTGGTAGATATCAAGTTTATAGGTTAGTCGGTTGTTTATTATTCTTGTGAAGGTTTTATATAGTTGTGACAAAAGGGAAATAGGACGGTAGTTGTTTAGGTCTGTTCGGTCTCCTTTCTTATGTATTAAGATTGTGTTGGCATTTCTCCATTGTTTGGGTAGATATTTTACCTTCAAACAGACATTTGTTGAACAGTATTTTTAGCATTTTTTTTATCGTGTCTCCTCCTTCTTTTAGCCGTTCCGCCAGTATTTTGTCCTCACCGGCCGCTTTATTTCTTTTCATGTCGGTTATGGATTTTTCGATTTCATCTTCAGTTATTTCTGGTAATACCTCTGAGCCAACATTTTGTATTTTCCTCGTGAGATTCTGTTTAGATGATAGTGGTGGGTCATTTTTAGAACTGTATAGGTCTGTGTAATATCTTTCTGTGATATTTACTATTTCTCCTAGATCTCTTTCTTCATTGTTCTCAGCTTTAAGCATGATTAGTTTTCTTTTTCCTATATTTGTCTTCATTGTTTTTAAACTTTTGTTCTTCTCTATGATTTTCTTAATGCGGTCTTCTTGGTATTTCTTTAAATCTTCCTTTATCTGTTTTCTTATGGTTTTATTCAGTTCGGTATACTCCACTGTATTTCTTTTGTATATTCTATATTATATACTCTATACTCTATATTCAGTAGTTGTCGTCGTTTTTTTAGCATATCTTGTGATTTAGCGCTTATTTTTTTGTTTTTTTCGCTTTTGTTTATTAGCGATCTTCAGACCTGCTTCTAGTAGTTCTGTTGTTATTTTATCGTTTAATTCGTCTAGTTGCAGACCCTTTAGCTGTGATATGTCACTTCTTTTTAGCTGGTTTATGTATTGTTCTTTGCGTTCTTTAAGAAGTTCTGTATCTATCTCTTTTTTAGATGGTTTAAATTTTTGTCTGTCTGTTGTGAAGTTAATTTTGACTTTGGCTCTAACAATTCTGTGATCAATTCCTACGGAAATCATGTTTATGACCGTAACGTCTTGTACTATGCTCTTTTCTTTGGATAGGATGTAATCAATCTCATTTTTTGTTAAACCACTGGGCGCGACCCACGTCCATTTTCTCTGTGGTTTTTTATTGAAAAAGGTATTCATCGCATATAGACCGTTCGTTTCCATATAGTTCATTAATGTTTCTCCTCTTTCGTTTCGTGTTCCATATCCAAAGTTGCCGATTTTATTTTCTGATTCTTCTAGTTTTCTCCCTAATTTGGCATTGAAGTCGCCTATAATGATTGTGTAAGTGCTTTTGTATTTGTTCACTGTTTGTGTCAATGATTCGTAGAATATATCCACTTCTTCATTCGTATGTGATGATGTAGGGGCGTAAATTTGTATGATCTTTAAACTTATATTTTTATTTATGTCCATTATTAGAGCCGCAATCCTTTCTGAAATTCCAATATATTGTCTAATCTTATGGACATGCTGATTAGAAATAAGAAAACCGACACCAGCTAATTCTTCTTCTTCATGCAACTAACTGGGTCAAATTGTTTTTCTTTGTATAGATTAACATGTATACGTTACTGTATCGAATTTATTCTTTATCTAATTTGGAATATATACTAATTATTTAGAATAATTATTACCTTCTCTATGCTACTTAGCCCTTATTTTCTCTATTCTTTATTTTCTTGCTATGTTTACATTACAAAATTTTGCCAGGCGACATTTGGCGCCTTTCCCCTTAATTAAATAAATGTATCTTTTACAAATAGCAAGAAACTTTTTATTTTTGAATAAAATAAAGAGGTTTTATTAAAACAAAAATACAATTTGTATAAGTACAATTTAAAAAATATATTTATTTAGTTCAAATAAATGTTTTAATCATATACTCTACGACACTGGTCGGTCATCTGTAACCAAAATACCTTCGTAATCGGATTATAAGGTTGACTTCTGTATTGTATTTCTTCCGATACAAGGTGGATTAGTCGAAAACATCTTGAACCGTCAGTTTCAGGTTGGTTTTTACTATTATATCGTATTAACTATCCTCTCTGTATTTCAGTTCTCTAATTAGGGTTAAACTTGTAGTGAGCAATCGACAAATTGTGAACCGATTTTAATTCCATTTTTGCCCAATGTATTAAACAAACTACCGAAATTTATGATGTTAATTTAATACGAAACAAATTAGAAGTCTCTACATCGATGTTGTTATATTTTACAACTTAAGTAGCAACCCTCGTAAACACTTAAATTACATGCATTTAAAAACTCATATATTTCTAATTTTAATTCGAACAACTGGATTAACATTGCATTCGCTCTGATTTATGTTTATTTTTATAGAATTCTTCCGACTACCTACCATCAGATGTCAACGTTACAGAAGACGCAATAAATCAGGTGTTGAACTTCACTTGGTCTCCCCACGAAGCCGTCGTCAATACCATTTCGTTAAATCTAAGAAAAGTTTCCAAGCATTATGTTATAGACGGTCTACAGCTGTATCTCGTAAAGGGTAAGTTTCCATTTCATAAATCGTATTGTCTATAATTAAGCATCCAGTGACAGCGTATGATATAAATGAGATGGATATTAAAGAGAGCGTAAAAAAGGTTGCTACGAGAACGCAATAAAGAAACTATAAATTTTTGTGTGTAAATATTGCCGTTAAGTATTAATAAATATTATTCACCATGTAATTTAAATACAATAAATGCAAAGAGTGCCGTTAAAATGGAGAATAATATTAGGTAGATAGATAGATAGATAGATAGATAGATAGATAGATAGATAGATCTTTATTTAAATAGGAACCCTAATATACATACAATATAAAGAAAGTACACTATACATTTTTGATATATTGTTTAAGTAACAGTTTGAAATTATTGACACTAGTACATTTTTTTTACAGATGTTGGTAACTGATTAAATTTAACGAAGCTTTTTTAAAAAGAGCGAATTCATCGTACTTTTATACATAGTTCTAGGTACACATATGTCATCTAAACCTCTGGTATTATAAGAATGAATACTTTTGTTAAAAGAAATGAATTCTTGAAAATATTCAGGTGATAAGCCATTTACTATTTTGAAGACCAAAATCATAGTGAAATAAAACAGTCTATTTTCAACAGAGAACCAATTTAGAGTATTTAACATCGTCTCAATTGGGGAACTGCGATTTGTTTTAAGAATTATTCTCATTCCTTCTTCTTCTTCTCGTGCCACTCCTAGCGGAGATTGGAAATCATCATGGCCACTGCGACTTTGTTAGCAGCGCGCCTAAAAAGTTCAATCGAACTACACCCGAACCATTCACGTGGATTATGAAGCCACGATATTTTTCTTCTTCCCACACTTCTTTTGCCCTTAATTTTGCCCTGCATGATGTTTCTTAAAAGTTCGTACTTTTCACCTCTCACAATGTGCCCCAAGTATTCCATCTTTCTAGTTTTTATCTTAATTCTCAATTCTCATTCTCATTCCACGGTTCTGTAATTTTTGTAGCATGTTAAGTTTGTTAAGGTTAAATAAATATAAAATTGATGAGCAATAGTCAAAATGAGGTTGAATAATTGTGTTATATACTGTTAATTTTGGTTCCATTGATAAATTTTGAGATATTCTACTCAGAAAGTAAAGTTTTTTTGATATTTTTTTATGAACGTACTCGAAGTGACTCTCAAAATTCAGAATATTGTCAAGCTGGAATCCCAAATATTTAACTGTTGTGACAATTTCAATTTTTTCATTATTAATATTTAAATTTGATTTCAGAATCAAGCAAGCTATATTTATGTTTGGTAGTGAAAATCATTGCCTTTGTTTTTTTCACATTCAACTTCAGTTTATTCATTTTTAAATATATATTAACCATATCTAAAACAGTGTTAATTTTTTGAATAGCTAAATCAAAATTTTTATCACTACAACAGATTAGAGTATCATCGGCAAAAAGATTAATAAATTCACAAATTACAAAAATATTGATATCTTTAATGTACAAAATAAATAAAAGGGGGCCTAATACACTACCTTGAGGAATCCCTGTATTACTATCAATTTCAGATTACAATTGGTCTTTACATTGAACTTTCTGTTTGCGATTTTGTAAATAATTTTCTAACCACGCAATTACTGTACCTCCTATACCATATTGTTTAAGTTTAGAAATCATTATTGCCCTGTCAATTGTTTCAAAAGCTCTTTTTAAATCAAGAAATACACCGACTACGTACTTATTTTTATCTAAATTACTCTTTATGTGACATAATGTAACTTGTAACGTTGATTCACAAGAGAATTGTTTTCGAAAACCTGATTGAATTAAATATAACTAGATGTATATATTTATTCACTTATGTAGATGACATCATTCAAAAATTAAAATTTTTAATGCACTATTTTTGTTTGCTATTGTTTTTGTATATTATTGTTTGCTTCCTGACAACTTACTGTCATTATCATTTTTGTAATTTTTCCACGATTGTTTTCCATGATGTTTAGTTTTTTACTAGCACAACATAAATATTCTTTGCTACAATAGGTAACTAAAACTAAACTTTAAAAACTAAGTAACCAACTTAAATTAAAATTACTAAGAATAAATGCAAACTAAAGTTAAAGATAATAAAATAAAATTGAAAGCTTGTAAATGAACGAAAGATCTGTCATTACTTTTGACAGAATTGACATTGCGGATGCGGAATTAAGCTTCGTTTGAGAATTGTATTTGACACCCCGAGATTGTGTTAAAATAAATGATTGGTTAAGTCCTTGTAAGAGAGAGACTGTCATTTCTCTTTATTAACTAGCTGGGGTCAAAGTGATGGGGGAATTTTCCAAGGTCATGTATATAAGTTTCCGGGACATACGCCATTTCTATCGACATCCCTTAGATATTAAAATTGAAAAATAGTATCTATTAGTAATTTTTCGATTTTTCAAGTGTTTTTTCGGCTTAGTATTATGGTATAATAAACTGTAAACAACTTATAAATTTGATTTAATTTAATTATATATTTCTTAGAATAAAAAAATAATGTTAATTGTTGATGTAGATAATTGCCTTAGTTGCTTTATACAGTTGTATAATAATGATTGTAGTATTGTTTATTTAGTATATAGCTAATTCCCTAACTTATGCCTCCGAGTTTATTTTGCATAACTTATCATTTCTTTAGCTTTATATGCTCCAAATAGCTTCGTCCGTTTCTTTTTGTACTTCACTGAGACCCTTCAAAATTAAAATTTGTTTTCTTTTATTTTTAGACGGGAACGTGTCTGTTTGGACCAAAAATGAAATTCAACCGCAGAAGGATGAAGTATCGAAACAGCTGTGCTTAGAGATTGAAAAGGGAGTCCGTGTTATGTTTTCCAACCTTGATTTTCTTACGGCAGAAGAGGAGGAGAGTATCCTAGCAGGTAAGTAATCTACATCAACTTATTTAGATGTTTAAGTTAGTGTGGTAATAAATATTTAAACTTAATTATTTATTTACTTATTAGTTACTTAATTATCTATGGCTTTACACAGCATATTCTGTTTGTCGTTTACAGAATTTTAATCGTAATTTTTTCTTGTCATCAAATAAATCAATTCTCCCAAGTCCTTCATTTCTCACTTTGTTCATTAGTGTTTATCTGTAGGTTCTCTTCCAAAATATCATTCCCATTGCATTTATTGTCTTTTCCATTCTTTTATTTATCACCGACGTCTATGAGCCATACAGTGAGCAGCTTTCCACTATTGTCTTAAAGAGTTGCTGTTTAGTTTTGCTTGTAATAATTATGTTTTATATAATCAATTAAAATTGTTGTTATGTTCTTTATTTATTTATTTTATTTATTATATCAGTTTAATCTGATCCAGTATTTATATATGTTTTATTGGCACAAATATAACCGCATCAACCACTAAGGGTTATTAGCCTGGGAAATTCACAAACAGCAAGATACATATTATTACATAAAAATAGTTTACAATTTTTATGTAATAGTGATTTTGAGATAATTGTTCAGGGCACACGCGATCCTTTCGTTCTCGTATACTGGACACTAGATAACTATATGTTTTACTGATAACTTCCCTGCTACTTCCTTATGGGCGACGTGCAAGTACTTGGAGGGGATACGAGAAACGATCGTGCGCGAGTAGTGGAGAAATCTTGCATTTTTTACTGTACATTTCATAGATTATAGATTTCATAAATTCATATTGTCAATTGTCATATTTCATATTCGTTTTGTTTATTTACACCTTCTGTCACTGAAGAAAATTCGTTTTGTTTATTTACACCTTCTGTCACTGAAGAAAATTTGATTTAGGAAATGCTGTGTTATAAATTGTAAAAATACAACAAAAAATTGTCAATTTAAGTTTTATTCGTTTCCAACTTCGAAGCACAAAGCTACTACAAAGAGAAAAGTGGATTTATATTATAAAAAAGTATAAGTAACATAACCTAAATTATGCATTATTCTTGCGCCTCTAAAGTCAGTTTGAAATAAATAATAAATAAAAGTTCACTTTTAAGTGTAAATTTTAGTTTCATAACACTCACTTAGAGTTTATTTTAAACCAAAAATCAAGTTTAATGTTTGAATTTTATTTTTTTGAAGTTTACAAAAATGCATCAAGTTCAAGTTTTTATGAAGATGCATTAAGATATATTCGCTGTCCAAAAATTTACAGGGAAAGAATTAATTGTTCAAACCAATATGATGATATCACGGGCTAAACCTGCTAATTTATGCATTAGCATTATTTATGGTAATTTATTTTTCTTAATTCTTCCACTCCACATAATTCTTCCATTATTTTTTGACATTTGCCACTACTAAAGCTTTTCCCTTTGACTCGTGCTTGGTTGAAAAGTTATTTGGTGATTTACTTTCTCAAATCCAGTTTTTATTATTGCATCCATATTAACAGTAATGCTGTAATTCAATAATATATTTATTTGTATTTACGCTACATCAACGTTTACCTTTTAATAACATACCGACATAACCTTAATCTTACCTTTTCTTCTTATTCTTTTTTGGGACTACGTCCTTGACAGTTATCCGGTAACCTCGATCTAACATGAAAGCGCAGTAAATTTGGCTGATTCACGACACCAGGTGTCGCTGTTCCGAACTTGCACGGTCCCAATACTGGTTTTCTTTGCCTACTTTTGCATTGAAGTCACCAACCATTAGTACTATATCATTTCTGGGTAACCTTTCATATAATTCTTCCAGTTATTTATATAATTCAATTTTATCATTTTCTGGTGCATTTTTTGTGTGTGAAGAATATATGTTTATGATTGTCATATTGGCTTGATTGTTTTCTATTTTTATACATGACATTTGTCCATTTACTGCTTTAAAGTCTAAAATTTTGTCCCTAATCTTATTGTTAACCATTAATGATGTATTGTTTTTCCCTTGCTTGTTTTCTCTTGAGTAGTATATTGTGTAGTTTTTCTTTTTCATATTTCCTTCTCCTTTCCATCCTACTTCTTGTAGTGCTAGTATGTTTATTCTGTATCTTTGCATTTCTCTTGCTACCTCTTCCATTTTCCTAGTCTCAATAATGTTTGAATGTTTCAGGTTCCTACTTTTACTCTATTTTTCTTCTTGTTTTTCTTTTTCTATCACGTTTTCTTATGCTTAATTCGTTGTTCTTTTTCCGTGCTAGTTTCGTTATCAGGTTTTCATCTGTTTTCTAAGTCTCTTTACATTCAATAGACGCGTTTTTCATATTCGTTTGCGGGATATTTTAGTGATACTAGTCGTTTGTTCTTAACTACGTGTTACTTTTACATAGGATTCCAGTTTTTAGGCTTTGTGCCATTATTATTTGCGGTCTTGATTATTTTCGCCATATTTTCTGATTTATTTTCGTCATCTCCTGGTAATCTTTCAGTATATGTTCTTTATCTGGGTTTACCTTGAGGTGTTTTAGTATTCATCGTTTCGCTTTGTGCCTTCTTGTATCCTAAGCTTTCCACAGTATATGTTTTGTCGTATATTTTTAGCTTAATATATTTGTAGCGATGCCTTCTGACCCCCTCCTCTTGCTTTTTTTAAGTGTTGTTTCAGTATTTTTCTTTGGTCTTGTATCGCCTTGGAATAAACTTCACTTAGGTAAATGTCTTTTCAATCTTTTCGATTGGTTTATTGTTTCTGTTCTTTTCGAACCGCTTTTAAGTTCCAGTAGTATAGGTCTCGGTAACTGTCGTATGTCGTATCTCTTTGGATACCAACACATTTTATATCTATTATGTCTGTATGTTCATTTAGTGGAACTTGGATTTTAATGGCCATATTTTTTATACTATTTATCATATCATTTTCTTGTTCACCTTCTTTCTCTGTTATACCATATACTATATTATTTTTCTTTCTTAGTTCTCTTTCTAGATCTTCTATTCTTTTTTCGTGTACTTTATTTTTTGATTTTAATGCTATATTTTCAGCTTTTAATTCTGCGATTTCCAGTTTCATGAGCTGTAATTAATTTTGCACTTCATTTAGTTTTGTTCTATTCTTATACCTCTATTATCCATACAATCTAATTTTTCACTCATCTTTTTCATCATTTCCTTCATCTTTTTTCAAGTATTGTTTTTTTTTCTAAATATCTAGGATGGCGTTAAATGCTTTCTCACCTCGATGGTTCGGAATCCTTTGCTTTTATCCAATTTCAGAGATTAGAAGTTAACTATTTTTGACATACTTACTTTCGCCGATTTCTCTCATAATCCGGCAACGTCGCTATTGATCTGTCTGTATTCCGTTACCTGGGGATTCCTTAACTGTCAATTGTCAAATTTGTCATACTGAAATGTCCGCTTACTTTTTAATTGTTTACGCTATTTATTATGTCTACTTACAGTTTTACTTGTGGATTTCTATTCCATGGACCATCCATTACCATGGACGTATTATACCACTCATACACACTGTTGCCAAGTGAGTGTTTCTTCTATCTAAGATTTTAATAAGGTTTATGACAGGCAACATCTTTGTCGAGGCAAGTCCTTTATCGAGTTTAAAGTTTCTGTGTAGTTTTTTTCGACTTTTACATACATTGTCTTCGTATAGTGATTTTACGGCATTTATGCAGGTGTTATCTACTCCATAATTTTCCATGAATGTATATAAAAGCTTATCGAAATTTGTCTATATCTGTATCAAACTCCCTCAGCATTATAAAGAATATACAAATATTTGCCTCTTGCTTAACAATTACCGTAACTTTGTTGCAAATGTTTCTATAAAAATTGCCGATGGGTACTCATCCCCTACACATTACATCTGTCAACAGACATAAAATATTTTATGTTCCGTAATTTTGAACAATTAGTTCATCAAAAAGGATGAATAATCAAGGGGATGTTTGCGTTTGCGTGTCGATTGAATTGATAATTGATGGCATAAGAGTAGGCGGGAGCGTCATTGAAAAGGTAATTTATGTTTCAAAATTTCGATGAATGTAACCGATAGGAACGGACACATGAAAAAATTAGCATATGGGTCCAATAATTGATTATATGTGCAGATGGTGTGGCTTAAACGAAGCTACAAATCGTAAAAATATTATATGATTTGTAAGTTTGTAATGTATGAAAGAGAACTGAAAAAAAAATTGTTCAAATATTTCTAGGGAATTTTTGTTTCTGATTTTATTATCGTAAAACAAATAAATACCAATAGTAATTTTTAGAATATTAGAGTGAAGAAAATTAAAATATACGCTGACGCTGATTAGATATAGAAACTGATATCCAAATTAATAATAAACGTCCAAGAAGAAATAAAATATTCCTTTTATAAATGTAAGAGATAAATATGGACAAATTATCTTTGCTCTCCTTTGTTTTCTTCTTCTAGTTATGTTTTATGCCGTTCGTAAGGATTCTGCCATAAATTTATTTTAGGTTTTAGGTTTTTTCAGTAATTTGTATGTTCATTTTATTATCGTAATCCTTCTTTGCTTCTTAATTTCTTCTTCTTGTCTAAGAGTTTATACCCGCTGTTTCTGAGCTAATAGATTCTAGTACGATTTCCTTAGAGTAGACGTCAAATAATAGTGGTAATAATATTTCTACTTTTTTTATTATAGCATTTTGTGTTGTAACGAAGATATTTTGCCTACCACATGAGGTATTAATACAAGGGATAGAAAATTGGGGACTGAAACTAAGGGGGTGGAGATAAGGCAAACAAAATAATCGCTACTTGTGCGAACGGCACTCAGGGTTTGTTAGGAGAGCTGGGGTCGTGAATAAGTAAAAGATAAGGTGGGTGAAATGGGGCAACTACAAAAATATGAAACAAAAGGTCATGAATCTCTTGGAACAAACAAAGCAAAAAGAAACAGGAAACACCTCTAGTAATTTAATATAGGGCGCCACTTGAGGTGCCTAATTATACCTATTACAACCACTATAGTTTATTTTTATGAACGAGAGTAATTAGCATAATTTTAACTGGTACCTCCGACCACTCCATGGGCGTGCTC